TGTGTGTGTGTGTGTGTGTGTGTGTGTGTGTGTGTGTGTGTGTGTGGTGGGTGGAGGGGGGGTGGGGCGACTCCTCCCGCACCACCAATTAATCAATCAATCAATCAATCAATCAATCAAACCCCTTTTTTTTTTTTTCTTTTTAATTTTGCATCTGCATTTTTTCAAAACACCTCATACTTCTGCAAAAAACATAAATTCATTTTAAAAAAAATACAGGTAAACTCACGGACCATATATCTCATGATAAAAAATGACCAAAAAAAATTCCTGCTTTTCTTTATATATATATATATTTTTTCTTTTAATCCAATTTCGTTTTTAATATTTTAAAAATCCTAAACAAAGTCGGATTCAAAACAAAAAAAGTATGGGGTTGTAGGGCTTAAAATTCCCTACAACCCCATATTTTTTCTTTTTTTTTGGGTTTCTGAAGAGGTCAGTAGTCTCACAGGCCATTTGGCCAACAATGCAACGTTTTGGGTTTCCGGGTCAAGAATACCCAGTCCCCCGTCACTTTTTTTTTTCCGTAAGTTTCCACCAGGCCACCTTGCTAATGCAGGATGGGGTATTAGTATCCCCTTTCCAAATGAACTTAGTAAGGAGATGTCTTATCAGCGTGGCAAATGAGGATGAAATCTGGTGTATGGAGAGGATAAACCAAATAGTAGAGAGAATGGAGCAGTTCGATATGAGGGCTCTCCCGAATAGAAAGAAGTTTTTCTTGCCGGACCATTTGGCACAGGTGTCTCTGATTTTGTTGTCTATGACCGACGACTGTTCTTTGTCCCAGTCTCCGAACAAGACTTTAATCCCGAGGTACCGCTCTGATTCTGTTGAGGGAAGAAGATTAATTCCTAGATCCGTTGCTAATGGACAGTTGTCGTGAGAGAGCGCTACCGATTTGTTCCAATTGACTTTCATTTCTGAGGCCTTTTCGTAAATGGTTAAGCATTGTTGTAGTGCCTCTAGTGAGGTCGACGAGTTCTCTGAGATTGCTGAGAAGTCGTCGGCCAGGGATGAGACCTTGAGCTCGAAGGATGGGGAGACCTCCAGCCCGCGGTATGATTCATGGTACCTGATCATATTCAGTAGGGTCTCCATTTGGATCACAAAGAGAGAGGGAGCTAAGGGGCACCCTTGCCTCAATGATCTGGTCACTGTGAAGGACGGCGATATAAAGCCATTTACTGTAATTCTCCCTTGGGATCCTCGGTAAAGGTTTCTACCCAACTGCGGTACTTCTTGCCAACTCCTAGTCTGTATAAGACCTCGAGGAGAAACTTCCAATTAACTCTGTCATACGCCTTCTCGAAATCTATAAGAAGGATCACAAAGTTAGAGTGTTGAGATTTAATGAGGTCTATGGCTTGTGATATTACCATCACGTTGTCCAATACCTGCCTCCCCGGAATGAAACCAGATTGATCCGGGTGGACCAGTTTGGTCATTAGAGGAGAAAGGCATCTGGCTAGGGTCTTGGCCAAGATCTTCCCTACCACATTCAATAATGAAATAGGTCGGTAGTTCCTGATTTCCCGTCGGTCCCCCTTCTTATAGAGAAGGGTGATTACCCCTTTTGTAGTTCTTGTGTCCAGAGGGTTACCCGCAATAACGGAGTTGAATACCCGCAAAAGGTCTGGGGATAGTAGGTTCCAGAATAGGCAATAAAATTCTACCGGCAGTCCCTCAGGTCCCGGGCATTTGCCCTTGGCCATACTATTTACTGCAGCGGTCAACTCGGAGAGAGAGATTGGTTGCTCGAGCGCTTCCTTTTCCTAGTCGGTCAGGATTTTTCTTGTGGAACCCCAGAGACGGTCTTCCCACTCCTGTGGGATTATTGGCTCATTTGGGTCCTTTTCAGATGTTAGTAGTTTTCATAGAAAATTCGAACAAAGTCGCAGATGGACTCAGATGAGTGTGCTGAAGGAATGGTATTGTCGAAAGGGTGGAACAACTCCACCATGGAGTTAGTGCTGTTTTTCTGGTTTCCTAATTTGAAAGTCGCAGAGTTCATTTTGTCTTTGTTAATGATGTTATCAATCCTTTTGAAGCGTGACCAAGATTCAAATTTGTTAATTTGTTTGTCTTCCCATTCTTGAAGCCATAGGGACCTTCTAAGATCCCAATGGCTGTCCGAAAAGGAGGAGAAACCCAATTTGCTTTCTGCCATATCAATTTTCCGTGTGAGTAGCACCTCGTCGTACTTCCGATTGACTGCTTTTATTCGTGAGATATTATTAAGGAAGCCGGAGAGGAGATGAATTCCTTTATCCAACCATTCCCCTCAGTCCGCGAAGAGGGCGGACGAGGCTCGCCAGTCCTCCCAAAAATGCTTCACCCATTCAATCATTTCCTTATCTTCGAAGATCTGCATATTTAGTTTGAAGGTTCCTCTTCCTCTATCAAGGGTGGGACCTGCAGCTATGGCGATTGAGGTTGCCTTGTGATCTGAAAGAGAATCCGATGTGTTTTCTGCTTTGAGTACTAATGGAATCACTGGTTCAGAGCAGAAGATGGCATCTAGACGCCTATATACGACAGGCGACGTCGACGACATCCAAGTGAAAGATCGTAAGTCCGGATTCAATATGCGGAAGGGATCAAAGAGACCCTTGTCCGCCAACAGCTCATTGAGGGCTATAGATTCCCTTGGGTGTGAGACGGGGGAGGAGGAGTCCAGTGCCTCATTAAGGACTGTGTTCCATTCCCCCCCGATCAACAGACGTTGTGCATTTGGAATCTTTTGGGATAGATCAATTAAAAATTGTGTTTTTGTTGCATGGTCTGCGGGGGCATAAACAAATATTAGTGTCCATTCTTGGTTGTTAATTGTTATGACGGCCAGTGCCCATCTCCCACCTGGATCAATGTCTGTGTGGGAGCAGGAGTTGCAAAGGGAGTTGTGGATCAGAATCCCAGTGCCCCCTCTTGTGCCCTCTGCAGGGGCCCAGACCTAGGGACCTGTCCACCATCCTCCCATTTCCATCACCCTGTCAGCGTTGAGTTTAGTTTCTTGAAGTAGGATGATGTGTGCTCTTTGTTTGTGAACCCAGGATTTCAGCCTGGATCTCTTATGCTTCCCGTTCTCATCTACTAATCCGCGGACGTTCCAGGTAACCACCTTAACCCTGGAGCCCATCCGTTGTTGTGGATGGGGCCTGAGTTTGGATGGCTCCCTGGTTGGATGATGCGGCTGCAGGCTGTCTGCTTGCCTCAAACAGTGCTAGGTCCCAGGTTGCTTTCAACATATCTGAGAAGTTGCGGCTGAACAACTTCTTGTCACTGTGGAGGCAGTTGTTGATCTCTGTAATGATATCCCCTCTGATCCCATCCCCAATCTCTGGGATAAATCTCTCTTTCTCATTGGTTTCCTTGAACCAAGATACCGGAGCCCAATAAAAGTTCGAGCCTGCGCGATGGATGGGCCCGCTAGGGAGAGAGATAGTATCCAGACGGGGCCCAAGTCCCGCTAGCAGCATTGAATCTGGAGGCGTTTGTGGAGATGTGCGGTTGAGGACACTCAACACAATTTCTGCACATCTCCACAAACAAGTCCAGATTCATCCGTTGCGGGAACTCAATGCTGCTAGTGGGACTTGGGGCGGCCGGGGGGGAGGAGGCGAAAGACGAATTATGGTTTTTGTTCGATTGTGCGTCGCACACACCTTCAGTTGAAGGTGAAGAGGCTACAACCTGACTCTCTGGAAATACTCACACGACCACTTTCCTAAAGGTATCTGGCAGCAACTACGATCAAGCGTGGATGAATCTAACCCGACACCACATCCAGAGCTTGGTAGAAAAAATCCTCGTCTGAATATATAATGCCCTCAGGCTTACTCATGAGGGTTCTCAGCACGCCAAGCTTCCCAGGTTGCGCATGCATTCCCTTAGTTGTGAGAGGTAGCTATGCTTGCAGGGGTCCCCTGTATAGGGTCTCGCTGCACTACTCCTTCCCCCCCCCCCCCCACTCACGAGACTCCCATCCTACGAGGTAGCGGAGCTCCAAGCATGGTGGACGAAGGAACACCTTTTGCGCTCGCCGACTCGCGTCGCCGGTCTGGCTCAGTCTAGCACTGCGGCCGACCGGCCCGTCAAGTGGTACCGTGCCGCCATGACACGAAGTTGCCACGGTGAAAGCAGCTCGCTAGGGTTACAAAAAAAAAAAAAAAGGGTTTACCCATAGCGACGTGAACCTCTAGCGGTATGCCCCTTCTTCACCTGACGGCCATAGCCCCGCCTCGTGACAACTTACACCACAGTAAGTCTCT